TGGCACATTTTCTCCTACGCCTAAGCGAAACCGCGACGTGCGGTGTTCCTCCCTAGTGCCCATCGGTCAATTACAAGTGATTCGAATATTCGAACTTGCCGCCGCGCGATCCAGAACGGTTTCCCAGAGGGATGTATATCAGTTGGACACGAGGCAATTGGACACAGTCCAATCACAAGTCGCTGTTCCAAGGGACCCTACAAATGTCTCTAAGTACACGATGCTGTGATTGGCTGTGTCTAAATGCACCGTGTCCAAGTGCACCGCTCCCTTCCCAGAGTCCGCAGCATCTAGAGATCACCAGGAGGTGCTGATTCATGTAAGCCACGAGAGCGCCATTCAGGGGTACAGAGAGCAACCGCGTGGTGGACGACCACTGGTAAGTCGTTATCTACATTATTTCTATACGCGCGAAACTATGATTAAAGCCTGCGACTATCCGACCCACCGTAAGGTTACGCCACGGTGGTTATACTACGCGTCTTGCGCGAAATCCATCGCGATTACCCTTGATCGCACGGATCCCCGTAGAATCACGCGATTCGTTTAACCCGAAAAATTGCGATCTTATCCCGTGCTAGGGTTCGAGCGCTATTCTTCACGGCAGCGTGGCCGCAATCCGCCGGGACGTCGTAACACGATTTAGTACGCGTATTAAGTGCACGATGTAAACCAAGTCTTTATCTGTTGGTCTGTTCTTTTCAGCTGCACTGCTGAACTGATGCAATAAGTTAAAGTGAGACAAGTATATTGGCTCCTGCACACAGGACGCGGTAATGCTTGTCGCGCGGCGGAAGTCCGCGCAATAGCCAATTAATATGTTATTTTTCCGTAAGAGCTAGAAGATTATTACGGAAAGCAGCATATTGATTGGCTGTCGCGCGAACTTCCGCCGCGCGGTAAGCATTACCGCGTCTTATGCAGGAGCCATAAGTTTTCTAACTTATTGCACTATTTAAGTAGTGCAGCTGAAAAGAACAGACCGTATGATCGTCACAATCATCCTATCTTTGGGTGCGGTCCAACAACCGCTACAAATTCTGCGCAGCGTTTCTCCCTTTTGTTCTATTCCTCGGATTCGAATGAAGAAAGAGAAAGAAGTAAAAACGCTACAAAGCACTTGCAGCGCCCGTTGGACCGTACCCTTTGTTACACACAGAGTATGGAACAAAGACAGAATGATGCTAGTGTTGACTTGTCTCTTACTGGAAAATAACCATGAGTTTAAAAATGTGTTTACTTACGTATATGTATGAAATATATGATAATGATGAAGATGAAAACTTATTTGGTAAAAATGCCGAGTACGGGACCACCCTCCAATGGTCTTGATGTTGACATATATTATCAAGGACATTCTCTTGAATCAAGAGATTTTAACCACCTAACAAACACAGTTATATCAATGTTATGTAACTGCAATAGAAATGACTATACAGATAATATTGCATGAAAGTTACTGATATGTTGCTGTTATGTTATTATTTCCCACTCATAGATGTAACATGTAATATATTATGTTATAACATGATATATTACATGTTACATCTATGAATGGGAAATAATAACATAACAGCAACATATCAATAACTTTTATTATCTATTATAATCATTTCTGTTGCAGTTAT